TATTGAGGGGAGTTCACCGCTAAAAAATATCCAATGTAGGCCGGATCACCAGCAAGGGAGGAGAAAAGAGGTTGATTTGACGTGTAACCCACGGGACCTTTTAGGCGGCGAAACACCTTTCACAGAGTAGCTGTTCCGAGAAAGAAATCTTGGGGTTCAAATGAGCGGCTCCCTGCTTCATGAAGTGGGGAAGGATGGTGTTGAAAAGGCAGGAGCTTTGGAAATAAAAGATTCTGGCGGGGGAGCACCCTCTCCCCCCCCCCGCGAGTAGTGGCAGTGGCAGTGGGCACACGTAATTTTTTCCCTCCTCACCCCCCTGGTGGCCCTGATGGCCCTGGTGGGCTGCACCTGCCGAATTTTCACGCGCGCCTCCAGGTCGTTTTAGGCGCTGCGCCCAGCCAGAGTGCTACTGATCCCAAATCACCCAGCAGCCCCGCCGGCCTGCCCGATAATACAAAACCAACCCCCCGCCCTTCCGTCAGGCCCCTCCCCCCGTCCCAGTTCTCTCCCCCTTCACCACCAAATTTCCAGGCACTCACGCGCCCCGAGACTACCGCTTTTACTACCCTCTCTCCGCCACGACATTAATTCTTCGTCGCCTGAGACCACCATCTCAACCAGCGTCAACTTACAGCGCTTCTCGCACTGCACCCCGCACACCACACCTTCGCGTCACGACTAGACACACCCACTCTCACAATGGCACGTCCTACTAAGAAGCAGATGGAGGAGGCTAAGAAGTCCGCCGCCGCCTCTGCTCCCATCGTTGCGCCTGCACCTCTCCCCATCGCCATTCCTGCCGTCCAGCCTGCTCCCCTTGTCGCTCCCGGCCTGGTTCACCAGCAGCCTCGCCACATTGACCCCGAGGGCTTCATTCGCGTTCGCGACTCGGTAAGTCACAAGTATTTTCACTTCCTTCTGCCAACCATCAATCACTGGCCACACCCGCCCTCCACAACACGCTGTGTTGTGTTTTGCTGTAATGCGCAACTGGCCTGATACATCACTTTGTTTGTCGTTGGGATTCATGACCTCTCGTGTGCTTGGATTTTCTTCGCTTTCCCTCTTGTTTTTTATTCTGTCTTGTCAAGTCAGAACCGGAGAAGAAGGGAACGAGACGCGTCTGGTTATTCTAGTGCACGGGAGGGGAGCCCTGTCTTGTTTACAGCGTCACGTCCCATTCGGGCAATTGTGACTCCCCGCGTTTTTTCCCGCTGGAGCTTTGACCCACCTACCCAGTCCACTACCCGACGCTCCCACCAGAGCTCCCCTGTATAGCGCGTGCCACGGCGCACTCACCATGAGCCTGACGAGTTATTCATTGCCCCAAGTGCTAACTCATACCCCCAGGTCCATCAGCGTCTCCTCACCATCTTGGAGCTCATCAAGTCGTTCTCTGTCGACTACTACCGCCAGACCAACCTGCTTCTGGGCGAGTCCGCTAATGAAGGCATCCCGGGCATTGATATCCCCATTACCAACCTTGAGCATGCCGCCCAGCACCTCGTGGGCATCAACGGCCTGATGCAGGCGGGCCCTGAGAATGGCGCCCCCCATCGCAGAGAAGAAAAAGGAGCGCAAGAAGCGCACCCCACGACCCCCAATGCCCCCAAAGCGCCCCCCTGACTCCCTATTTTTTTGTATATGTAAAATGGTTCTTCCCATCATCTCCAGCGATTTTTGGCACCCGACGCCCCCCAAGGTGCTGTC